TAAGGAAGGGGAACACATTTATAAGGTCTCAGTCCACAGGAGACGACCTTAGCCGTGATATCGTCTGTTGTCTCCATGCATAACTCAAACCTCCAAATATCAGTATAAACATCACTTTTATCCTCCTAAAATGATTCCAGGGCTGTCAATTTTCTTGTAATCCCCTCTCCATGAAATACTGAGTATTATTGAATGATTCAAATAATTTTAAATAAACAAATCATAATTACTTTTCTTGGCTGCCAATATAAAAATAGTTTATTATAAAACAGAAAATTCGGCAAATCGAAACCAGGATCAAGAAGCCTTTTAAAATTACAAGTTTTAGCTGATGCTTTGTCGTCGTTAGAGCAGGCCATTTGGAGACTACAGAGGACGTTTTTTTCATGTCTATGAGATGTGTATCCCATTATTGCAAAAGAGTTTATGTTAATATCTTTGAAAACCGGTAACCTCTAGATGAAGATGACTCTACTGTCCATAGAAGGTCAGACATTTCTAAACAAACATCAAACATGCTGGTACATGTATAACGAGTATAAATTTACATAAATATTACTATAAACTTTAGTTCATTTGCCTTTTTTTAGTATTATAACATATGAACAGAATTTGTGCAAAATCTTGTGCTTGAATGGAAGAGAACATTTGCTGTGGCCTTCAGCTCAACATTTAGATATATCGACGACATATTGTCAATTAACAAAGACAATCTTCATTCCTATGTCGATACGATATGTCCTGGGGAGGGAGCTTGAGATAAAAGATACCACAGAGTCTAACACATCTGTTTCATATTTGGATATTTTACTTGAAAAAGACGTTAATGGTATTAAACAAGCAAGTTATATGATAAACGTGATGACTTTAACTTTTCTATCGTCAAATTCACAAATTCAAATGCACTTATACTTTCATCACCTGCATATATGGAGTTTATACATCACAGTTGATTCGATACACAAGAGTATGCTCTACGTATAAACAATTTCTAAAACGGGGAAAATTATTGACAAACAAATTCATGAAACAAGAATTTCAGCAGTCTCGTTATAAGTCAGCATTTCGTAAGTTCTGTGGTTAAAACAATGACCTTGTCAGCAAATATAATTCATCATTGAGTCAAATGCTGACTGACGTTTTTCATACTAATCGTTAGCCCACTATTTATACATTGAATTGAAGACGGGTTTTTCCGTTATTTCCCGATCATGACAAGGAGCACACGGCGGGTGAAACTGGTTGACAGGGGATGCTCACTCCTCCATGACACCTGGTCCGATCTCCGATGTTTTGGAGGTCCGTGTTTGCTCTACTCCAGTTTTGTATTCTTTTATCTTGTATATTGTTCGTTATCTCCATGTTTCATCCATATACATATGTATCTTAAATACCTTTCTGAAAAATGTGTGTTTGTCCGTGGTTGTCCGTGGTTACTCCCTGGTGAATATATATTTTTATTGAGTTCAAAAGTTTTATTGTAACCAAATACACGTAAAAATGAAAATGGAAGCATACAGAAGTTTTGAATAAATTCTTCTTCACATGAAGAACCAAAAGGTATGTTAATAATGGACAAGAAATTTCAGCAGATAGTTGAAAAATCTGGTTTCCAAAAACTAAATAGAAATTGTCAATCAGAAGCTCACAGATCTAACAGAATGTTTTCAACAGAATAATTTTGTGGAGGTTTAAGAACAACCTTAATCTCAAACTATACCATAGGTACGGTTTATCTATATTGTATTTTATACAGTATCATGAAATACGAGGAAAACAAGCAGATGAAGTGTACATGTAATATAATTAGGAGAAAAATAATGAAATAACAATTAAGATACATGTATTTATTTGTCAAGCGTTTATCTACAATTAATGTATTCGTTTACCTGTTTAAACACCCAATTTTATGTTAACGCCCCCAAAATCTACCTGATTCACGATCAATAATTTACCGCCTGTCAATCATTAAAAAACAATAGCTTCTGACTTGATTGACAGGCCAGCTACCAATGCTACCTGATAGTCCGAGTTTGTGTCCTTTGAAGACGATTGCCTGGTCACGCGTCAAACACTTTCATGTAGCCGCCTTGTATACACGTATACGGGGGGTTAAAAAAAGGGTAAAATTTTATTTTAAAAACAATTGAGTGCAGATAATTAAAACATGACTTCATAAAATATTTGCTTTTAATCTCAACGGCTATATTCATAATATTGTATTTTAGGCGATATGACGTCCAAGATTTAGACCCGTCCGTACACAGACACGCTATTTGCCGATTAAAATTGGAATATGATAAATAAGAAAAGATATTTAGCACAAATGGCACGGATAACAAATTCATTTATCCCATGTTTTATTTACGTATATATGAATACAATCTATACCATGTTTCGTTTTAAAGTTCTTAAATGTCAGAAACAGCTAGGAGTTTCGAGATTGTAACTTTTAGTTCGAATTTCCTAACATCTGTCAATACCCAATATTCGAAATTAAAAAGTGAATGAATATATACAGCAAAAGATCAATTCTTAAAAGTGTAAAAGAAATATTGCAAACAATAAAAAATTTTTAAACACACGAACACTCGGAAATGGTGAATATTTTCGATACTATTGTTGATCAGAACGTATAGGCAATATTCCTATCGCGGTACGGTACATTGTATATGTTCACACGACGGATAGGCCTACCTATGAATGGAATTTTTTTTTTTTTTAATTTTGATATTTACACAAGTTTAATTAATAAGAGATATGTTTACTTTGTAGTTTTACTCTGTTCTTTTCTTTAATTTGTCATTTTTTAAAATATAAAAACGATGTTTCTTTATAATTTTTTTCTTCATTAGATATCGCTGAAAATATTCGTAAATAAAGTTTATATTGAAATATTTCAATTATTTCAAGTAGTTTCACTCAAATTTAGACACGAAACACGAAAAGTTGACCCTGATCACCAGACACAGACTTCCTGTGTACTGCTACGTGTATAGGGATTTTTGACATCTTGGGTATTGGGGGTCTCCAGGATGAATAACACCACTGTTACTTTGACCACTCCCCCTCTTTAGGTAACCGTACGGTAAAAAAATTGGGTCTTTAAGAAACGTAATATTGAAATATTAATACATGTACTGATATTTTTTAAGGTCGCTACCCATGTCTTGTGGTTTGGAGACGATATAAAAAATGTCATTGATCCCAGACGTCATGTAAAGACTACGTCTCAAGACTAAGTCACGGAAAGAAAGAAAGAGGAGAGAGACTTCCCGCAACAGCGAAGATTGGAAATTATGTATGTGTGAAAAAGTGTACTAAAACCAATTCATCTCAATCAATCTTAGTTTTTATCTGAAATAGTTGAAAAAAATTTGCAGCATTATTAATCTAGAATTAGATTAAGATTGGAATTACTAGCACAAAGTAATCTTGAAACTGATTTGCACGTCAAAGAATACATCTTTCAGGGGAAAAAAATACGGGCTTCATCGATATATTTTTAAAATAATTGTTCAGAAATAACTTTCATTCATGTCCCTGGCATACCCAACACACTAAACAATGATTCCTCTTATAAATATTTATATGTGAAATAAAATTGTAAATATAAATCACAAAAAAGGCTGTCTCTTAATTCTTAATAAATTTATTAGAGAAAACAATCAAAATGTAGGCATTACCATTTAAGCACTAAAATAACCAATTTGTTCACAGTTTTACAATTTAAAATATCGGACCAACACGGGGGAACATCTGCTTAGTCGGACTTCATTTTGTGATGTTTTTAATCTTTTCTATGTCCTGAGAAATGGACTTTTCTTTATTGTATTGTTCGTATATTTTTCGTCTTTTTACTGATTTAGATATATTACATAGATATAACTTCATACTAACATTCTGGGGAAAGAAAATTTCTTCAATGATCAATGCTACATTCATAAATCAATGAACCGTATGGAAGTACATGTGATTTTCTCAATTACGGTAATTTTAAAACTCAAAATGTGTAAAACACAGAAATAATGGAAAAGATGTTTTTAAGGTCCGTGTTTGCTCTGCTCCTACTTTGTATTGTTTTATGGACTTTTGATCTTGAATACTGTTCGTTATCTCCATATATTTCATGTTTTGAACCACCTTAAAAAACAATAGGTAATTTTTTATACAAGCTTTCAAGTTTGTTTTAGTACTTATCTCTAAACGCAAACAATAAACAATATTGATAACAATATATGTATTACACATATTCATTATCACAGAATTTTTTTTAAATAAAACATCTTTTATAACTATTTTTAGGCATTAATATCTATACACATGAATATTATAATGAAATCAACATTAATTTTTGATCATATCATAGGTTACACTTAAGTGTAAATGATCACATCAAAATCAACCTAATTCTAAAAATTGCATCTTTCTATAGTGTACATAATGTCAACGTGAAAACGTTAAAATATGAAACACAAAAATACAAAAAAAATTTCAAAACATTAGAATTATATCAAATTAAATTAAGACAATAATAAAAACAAAGTACTTGTAACTATTAAGATGTTTAATAAACAATTTGTGAGAGAATAATAATCAATATATTATTCATAATGTAAATATTTGTAATGTAGTACGCGTATCTAACCAATATTTCAGCTGTAATCAAATAGAAGAAAAATCTTATCGGGAGAGAGATCGGGATATTTATTTATAGAATTAAAAGCAATATAAGATGCAACTCTGATGTTAATTTTTTTTTTATTTATTTATTTATTTATTTTTTTTTTTTTGCAAATTTGTAATTAAGTTTTAAGAACAGAGAAAAAGAACATTTCTAATTGTAGAACCATTGTTCATACATGTATTTGCGATGGAAAAACTTTTTATAAGCTATGATTAAAGCAAAATTACATTATTGTTGTCCCGTACTATATCGATTTCAAAAATAATGCTCTATAATTGTACAGATCTTTCTTCTGAAACAATTCAATACTAGTACTTTATAGGTTTAAATTACATACAAATCTATCATGATAAAACATCTTAACAACAACATAAAAATCTCAGAAATGCAGCTAATATTGCTTTCATATTTTTATCATAATTTATGTTCCCTCTACAGTTTATAATATGCGAAGGGATATTTTTTTTTATCTAAAGAACTGGAAGACAATTATTCACTAGAAAATATAATGGGTAAAAGTATTTGTAATTATGATGGCACTGTATAATTAACTTTTTTTGTACTGGCACGGTATGATTTACTTTGAGTATACCATTATAAAGCTATTTTTGAGTATACGTAACAAACAAGATTAGCTGTCCTTCTTGACAAAAATTACGGAAGAATTATTCCGACTGTAATCCGACATTGCAAAAATTGAAACCTAAGATCTTGTATGAGGATCAAGAAATAGAAAAATTTAACATCAATTACGGAAAAATTATTCAGAAATTGCAAAATATAAAACCACAGATCTAGTTTGAGGGTCAAGAAAAATTTAACAAAATAATATTAAGCAAAAAAGTTCCAAAACTGGTCTATAAATGGGAGCAAAACAATGTATGAGTAAGCACTTCTCACGTAGAAGCTCTCAAATGTTTATGGACAATAAGAGATTTGGAAATAAATGCTCATCAGCTTTGTATCATTGATTCGCATACATGTTGTTTTCAACATCGTTTTCATAGTCCGAATCATCTGATAACTCCTCTTGAGTACAGGTGCTTGCTGCAGTTGAAATTTCTGACCCACAGTCTACTTCACCAAAGTCATTTGCACATGGATGGATAGAGGAATCAGTTTGGAATAGTGGGTTTTCTTTGTATACGTGGGGAACTGGTAAATCATTATTAGGTGTCATATTACTTCGGAATGGTTGTGGTCTCATCATCTTCATTTTCGATGAAAGGATGGTTCCATTTTCGTAATTTGGAGTTGCACTATAAGGGCATTTTTCTTCGGTTCCAGCATAAGACTCTCCTGATTGAGAAAACAGTTCATAATTTGGAATGTCTTCTAATTTCCCAGAAGATTGACCATCGCGTGTATGTGCACGCTCAAAATGATCCATTTCTTGGAGTTTCCGATATATTCTCTTTAGCTGTGTTTCATTTGATGCATTTGTATCTACAATTAATTCTTCTTTAATTTTTTCATCATTATAAGAGTTGTTTCCGTTGTTCTCTGATGAAGGTGCACCACTACATAAATCTGTAGGTTGATGCCTCTGTACACAAACGTAATCTTCGTCACTTTCACTCTCAATAGCTCCTCTGTCCTTCTCCATTAGATTTTCCGAGATCGCGTCTTGATAAGCTAATTTCTGGGACATGCTTTCAAAACTGTCATACGTATCGTCCTCTGTGTCTTTCTTTCTTTCATAGATTTCTGAAATCCTGAAATATTTTCAAGAATTTCCTTCTCTAATTTTACTTGAATTGAAATTCAATATAGAATGAGGAAAAAAAAGGGACTGATCTGCCAGTTGTGATCTTAAATGAGAAGCATTACATCCAGAAAGCAGAGTTTTAGTGTGTTTGGATCGAAAGCCTGTTTCATTGTTGATGCTATGAGATAAGAATGTTTCAAGAAATTTTATAAGTGATTCTCAATGATATTATCTATGATATTATGAGAGTTCTTTAAGTATGCCAAAATTACAAGCAGTAGCATTATCGAGAAGAAAAAGATATAAAAAGTTATAACCAAGCAAAAACCATATACCTGCTCATAGATTTCAGTTGCGTTACTGTCGTGTGCATAGAAATTATTAATTTAAAAGGTAAGTTTCATAAGGAGAGCAAAGCAACCGTTGAACAATAAAATTGTATTTCAGTCTAAGGTTGTGCAAGAGACCTGTACCCGGGATCATGAAACACCTTAAGCTTAAGTCAAAATCTATATTTGATAAATAAAATGTAGAAATCAAGCAGACCAAAATAAAAATATTTTCAATATTATTTTATAGAGTGGTTGTTGTGTGCAAATTTAGAAATAAATTCCATAATTAATAAATATTTTATAGGCCATTGAAAATTTGACTTAAGTCTAAATTTGTTTCATGATCCTGAGGCCAGGACTTAGATACTTTAAAGTTTAAACCACTGAATTAGTCGAGATTTATAAGGTTTAAATATCATTTATAAAAAAAGAAAGTTCGCAGTGAAGATGTGATGCTTTGCTTCCTATTATGAAATTAATACTTCTCATGATCTTACTTTCTAGCTATGATGCTCTCAATATCTGCAGCTGACGGTCGACTAGTTCTGTCCTGGTCCCAGCATGGCTTCATCACTTCCTTGTACAACCATTCAGGACAGGCAGGTGGTCGATCGGGAGAATGACCGTCATTTAAATGACTTAATATCTACCGTTACAAAAGAAATAATTTTTTTTTATAAATCTCGCACACACAGTCATTAATTAAAGGCTATTCTCAAATTGAGAAATAGATGTAGTTTGTCCCCTCACGGTCATGCAAAAATATTAATTAATGAAAGTTTACTACACATATCATTTGTGTGAGAGTTGAAAGTGACTAATATTCAGTACTGTAAAAACTTGTAAAAACACCCTTTATAAAAAGAATTGTATACTCAATTTAATCGATTTATCCATACTTTTTTTATATATTTTAATGAGATTATTGAAAAATGCATATCAGTGAAGACGTACTTGAGATCTGTGTTTGTAGGAAAAAGGAACACATTGTAGTTGATCATTTCCAGAGACTGCCATGTAAAACTCGTAAAACAGCATGGCCATTGTATAAACGTCACTTCCTGTGGAAATTTCACCGTGTCCAATTACCTCCTTTGGAAGCCTAATATTTGTTAAATGAAGAGGTATTTGAAAAATGTACAGCCATAACTTGTGGTAGAACATAATAAACATGTCATTGAACATCCTGCTTTTCCACACTAGCATACTTATAAATTGCATATTCTTATGCTTTTTAGCTGTCTTTTCGCAATGCTCCACATGGGGTTTGTTTATACGTTAACCTGGCTGCGAGACGTCATATCTTACTAATATCATGATTACACATAGGTTTATGACAACTGTCTAGAACATAGTTAGCTGTAGAAGGTTCATTGTTTACTCTCAGTAATTTATGGGAAATATTTCTTTCAATAATTTCTCGAATAGAAGGAGAATTTGGGCGTGAATATGACTACTTTTTGGTTATTTCACATTGAAAAATAAAACGTTTGTTTCATTATCGATTTTATCCAAAAAATAAATTACAGTATTTTAAATGGGAATGTTTTTGTAATTGATCTGAAATATAGCAGTAGTTGAACTCTATACAGACCAGTACATAATATCCTCTAGCTTTCTGGCACACTTTATGCTATCTTCTCCAGATGGTAGTCTCAACATCCGTCCTATTCGTATTTGACATGCCTAAAATATATTTTAAAACTTTCTCAACAAATCTTCTTAAACGAAGTAAACCAATAAACAAGCTACTTTCTACGCTTTGGTATCCTCAGTTTTTCAACAAAACCGGTGAATGAAACATATGGAGAAAACGAACAAGCTCAAAAGTCCATATAACAATACGAAATAGGAACAGAGCAAACACGGACTTCTTAAACATAGGAGGTGGGATGCCTTAGAGGTGTGAACATCCCCTGCCGACCGGTCATTCCCGCCTTTTGCTCCTTATCATGTTTGGGAATTAAAGAAAAATCCGTACAGTCATTTCAGTGTGTAAATAATGGACTAACAATTAGCTATGAAAAACGTGAGTCAGCATTTGACTCTATGATGAATTGTATTTGCTGACAAGGTCATTGTATCGACCATAGAACTTACGTAATGATGACTTTAACTGAGACTGCTATTTTTGTTTCATCAATTGTTTGTCAACGATTTACTTTGTTTAGAAATCGTACATACGTGGAGCATGCTCGTGCGTATCGAATCAACTGAGTTATAAACTCCGGTAATTAAGGTATATTGCTGCATACAGACTCTGTGGTATCTTTTATTTCAAGTTCACCGGGATATATCGTATCGACATAAGAATGAAGATAACTAATGCTTATTGACAATACGTCGTCGATATATCTAAATATCGAGTTGAAGGCCAAGGGAAGAGTTTTTTCTTTTCATGCATTAGATTTTGGCAAACTCTGCTTTATATGAATAGAAAAATAGGTCTGCTAATAACGGGGTGCAGTTGGTACCCATGGAAATTCCAATAGATTGTTGGAAGACCTGGTCTCCAAAAATAACATAGATACTGTCAGTAAGAAATCAAGCATCTTTTTTATGTCAACTTCTGAGTACTTGTGTATACAATCAGAATATTGGGAATGACTACTTCCAAACTTTTCCGTATAAAAACATGATACAATTGAATAGTTGAAAACATAACCTTGCAAATTTTATTATCAATACAACGACCTTGTCAGCAAATACAATTTATCGAATCTATTGTAAATTGTATGCTGACTGGCGTTTATCATACTAGTAAATGAACAAAAAATCACACAGTAGTTACAAGGGAAGCTTTCTTCCGTGGCACCTAATCCCACCTCTGCTGTTAAAGAGGTCTGTGTTTACTCTGCTATATTTGTATTATTTCAATGGACTTTTTTAGCTTGTTTACTGTTTGTTATCTCCATATTTCATCAAAATACACTCTTCTTCTAAAAATTAGCAAAAGTTTCTTTGCAAATTTCAAATTTATATTATCATAACTCTGTTAAGTAAAAGTTCAATTTCTAAAACTTTTCTGTCTCGACTAGTGTATACATATGTGTAATAAGTAACAAATTGTATGAGTCAGAACTACCTTTAAACCGTTTTCCTCTTGGATATAAATGCTCTTTCCAGTTATATCGACCAATAGCCAACGTTTTTCATGCATCCTTTTCACCAGACACGCGACTTGATGTATAATTCGGAGGTGATAATTTTCCTCTCCATGTGCGTTGTTGACGTATAATGGAACTAAATCCATGATGTTCCTAGCTGCTGGGAAACTGTATTTCTATACAAACAATTTTGTAGGTTGTAAATTGAAAAAAACCCTTTTGCTTTGAGACCTTGAAATCCCTTAAATAAAGCTAAATCCCTTACCAATATTACTTTGACTCCCTGAGTGGTAAAGGAATGCTTCACTGGTGGCCATTGCATGCACATTTTCTCTCCAAAATCTGGACTCATTTTTGGGAATATTTTGTCATGAAAGTCGACAGTTACTTCTTCCTCTACTTCAAGTTCAAATCTCTACAATTGCAGCATTTTCATTCTAAGAACAATCACAGCTATTCAATGCTTTTATCTATATTTTATAAAATGAAATCATCAATATGATCAAAAGGTTAATTAAAAAAAAAACTATAATTCATGAATAAAAGAATATTAAGCATCTTTTCAAACCTTGGAAATTTTTAAACAAATCAATATTTTTTTAATACTGTAATTAAGGTCTTCCGTTTCCAACGGAAGACCTTCTACTGATTCTGTTGGTAAAGATTATTAGGGTCTTCCGCTTCCTTCGGAAGACCCTACTGTTATTCTACTGTTTCTTATTATTATTTTATTTTTTTTTTCCCGCTCGATTTTTGACAGGCGATTTCTCAAAGACCTTTGGACTGATTTTTATGAAACTTTCAGGTTAGATACCTTGTAATTAAACCTATTTACACCTGTTTTCAATTTTTTGATGCATGCCTTTAATTGTGAGTTATTGCCCTTTAATTGATAATTTTGATGTCTCGTTTCCACTAAAAATCTCAAGAACGACGTAGGATATTTACACGAAAGTTGGAGAACTTGTAGCCAATACATTGTAGATGTGCAGAACGATAAAATTATGAGCTGATTTTCTAAAGTTTGGAAGCTATAAAACGGCAAATTTTAGTAATTTTTTTTCTTGAATTTTTGCTACTTTTTGTGTAATAACTTTTGAACCGAGAATAATTTGGTAAGAAATATATAACAAAAGTTGTGTGTAATTACGAGAGCTTTCATATTAGATTAATGAAAAGGGGCTGGCCCCTATAATTAGGGGTTAATAGCTCATACACGTTTTTTCTGATAGCTAAAAATATTGGTATATTATGAAAAAGTTTGACTGAAATAATTTCGAACTTATAAAATCTTGTCATTTGATATAAAAAGAAATAAACTTCCAGCTATATTTAATTGTTTTTATATAAAACAAGTACATGTATGTGAGAAACCTTTCAGGAACAAGTTGTCTACTATAGCCAGCCAAGCCTTTACTGCATACATGTGCACATTTTTAGTTGATGCATCTAAAAGATATAGTTTTGATTCGGTGTTTCTTTGTTTTCTTTTTATTCAAATAATTTTAAAATGTGATGATGTACACAACAATAAATAGTACCTAGTTTAGAGGATTTTTTCGCGCTTGTTTGTAAACAACGCGCGGCATTGTGGGAAATAGGAAGGTACTAAAGACGCGATGTACTAAACACTTATTTGACCTGATTCAAATTTGTCTGTAAATGTTCCAAACAATTGAATTTTTGTATAGCATATGCCTCGAAGTCATAAAGTCTGTACATAAGTAATTTAAAATACTCAATATTACCATTTAATTAAAAATTAAAACGTCAGGTAAATATCAGGTCTCTAGTATATCCCGTTTTTAGTGTGCCCCTTCGAGTCGACGTCGGACACATGTTTGTCATGGTTTACAAACTGAAAATAGAATGATTTGTGAAATTGAACATTTTCTCACAAAGAATCCGCTTGTAGACATGCACACTCATTTAATCTGGAGCTACGAAGTACTTTGTCACTTCTCTGGAACATTATAGATAGTTTTCGATAGGCCTGAATTTAGCGAAAGTTACCTCCCGTTGGCCGCCATATTGGAGGTCGACTCAGTGATTTTCCCTCTTTGTCTAACCAAGTTTAAGAAAATATATCAGAAATATTTGGTGGAAAATTTTTATCAAATAATTTTTTTTAAATAAAGGAGGCTTCCAAAAATTTATATACTTCACAAAAATAATGATTTCTAATTGAAAATAGCAAATATAAAAATTTTAAATTGGTTGAACAGTGAAGGAATATGAGCATTTGGACCTCCAGTATGGCGGCCAACGGGAAGTAACTCTTGGTCAATCGAAAACTATCTATTCTAAGCAGAATTATCCCGATTCATATATTCTAAGAATCTTGTGTGAATTGTTTACGAGGAAATTCTGACTGTCACATTAACAAGGATGAACACTCTTGACTCTGCTTCGGATTCCCCAGTGATAATTGTATCGAGTGATGAAAGAGCTGACGGCGACATTTTAATGTATGATTGGCTTGGACCATTGGAATGAAGGTTAGAATATTTTTATTACTTAAAATTTACACTACTGATTACATGACAGTGACGTACATTGATGTTATTAGAAATACACAGACACACCGATATATTATCTGTTTTACAGTTCAGACGCTCTCTGTTTGCCTTGTAAATCCCCACAGCTTTATATTTTATTTTTATTAAATTTGAGGATGTAATTTCAACAGTCCTACTATCTATCATAGTGATCATACTCTATAATTCAAACTGCACTTAATGTTACAGAATATATTCAACTAAATATATATTGACAGTGTGACTGTAAGGGTGAGGGCAGATACTTATTTAGTTTTAATTTAGATTGTGCTTGTCAAGCCGCATTTGACATTTGGTGCATCCATGCTCAATGTTCACACTGAGAGTTTATTCAAATGTTTAATTCGAATGAATTCACTGCTCGTTAAATTACTTCCCATTAGCTCCATGTGAACATGAGTAAGGATATCTAATTCAAATTAAATAGAAATGAATTTTGAATGTAGCTTAAACATGTTAAAGAAGCTAAGCACTGTGTGTCCAAAGTATACTGCTCACAATCTTCTTTTGCCAAGGTGTTATCATAAGAGCTCGCATTATGGGCAGGGATTTGTGCTGCTGTCTGGACTCGCTATAAATAGATGTTCTCAAAAAGTCTTAATTATTTAATATCATACTTTACTGACAAAAAAAGAACAAATATTGCTCAGTTAAATTGCAAAAGAAATTTGTTTAAAAAAATTGAAATAATAGAAAGTTTGCATTTTTGTTTGATAAGACTGCTGTAATGGTTTAATGTTTGTTTATTTGCCTTAATCATACATTTTTCAGTCATTTCATGGTGCCACCACTTGGGATGGTATTAGCTGCAAATATAGACTTGTACTCAGCACTTATTGCCTTTAAGAAGTATGAGATCCATTTTGTGCTAACACCTACCGTGACACAGAATCTTGGTTTATGCAGTCTCATAGGAGTAACCTGTCTAAAGCATTTAGCAATGGGATTGGAACCTGCAACGTAAGGTTCAGCTTCTTATTGATACTTTGATTTATAATATTTATTTGAGAATTTCACTCATTCACATACTTAGAGATGTTGATATATATTGTTGAATAGCATCAATTTAGACCTTTAATTAGCTAAGTAAACATGTACTGTGAGGTTTTTAAGGTCTCATTCATTTTATATGCCAGATGCATGTTAAGGAACATTACTGCATAAATGTTTTTGTCTTAAATTTGAGGCTTTTTACTAATATAGAGATATGTTAGTTTTAAACCTCTTCAAATTAGGGTAGACCTTTACTTTAAACTCAGCAATGTGAGTGTGTTGTGTGAACTTGTGTTAGCGAGACAGTGTGTTGTATGAATTTGTGTTAGCAAGGCAGTGTGTTTTGTGAACTTAATTGTGTTAGCCTGACAGTGGGTTGTGTGAATTCTTGTTAGCTTGACAATGTGTTGCGTAAACTCGTGTTAGCGGGACAGCGTGTTGTGTAAAATCGTGTATAAAGTGTAAGTGTGACAGTGTGTTGTGTAAACTCGTGTTAGCTAGACAGAGTGTTGATTGAACTCGTATTAGCGAGACTTCGTGTTGTGTAAACTGGTGTTAGTGAGACTGCGTGTTGTGTAAACTCGTGTTAGCGAGACTGCGTGTTGTGTAAACTCATGTTAGCGAGACAGCGTGTTGTGTGTATTCTTATTAACGAGACAGCATGTTGTGTGAATTCGTGTTAGCGTGACAGTGTGTTGTGTGAACTTGTTATCCTGAAAATTTGTCGTGTGAACTGGTGTTAGAGAGATAGTGTGTTGTGTGAACTCGTGTTAGCAAAATTGGATATTGTGTGAACTCGTGTTAGCCAGACTGCGTGTTATGTGAACTCGTGTTAGCGATATTGCATGTTTTTTGAATTTGTGTTAGCGTGACAGTGTGTTGTGTGAACTCGTGTTAGCCTGACAGTGTGTTGTGTGAAATGGTATTAGGATGACAGTGTGTTGTGTGAAATGGTATTAGGATGACAGTGTGTTATCGCAACAGCGTTTGGTGCGAACTTGTGTTAGTGAATAGTGAGACAGCCTGTTTTGAGAATTCGTGTTAGCGTGACAGTGTGTTGTGTGAACTCGTGTTAGCCTGACAGTGTGTTGTGTGAAATGGTATTAGAATGACAGTGTGTTGTGTGAAATGGTATTAGGATGACAGTGTGTTATCGCAACAGCATTTGGTGCGAACTTGTGTTAGTGAATAGTGAGACAGCCTGTTTTGTGAATTTGTGTTAGCGTGACAGTGTATTGTGTAAACTCGTGTTAGCATGACAGTGTATTGTGTAAACGCGTGTTAGTGAGACTGCGTGTTGTGTAAACTCATGTTAGCGTTACAGTGTGTTGTGTGAATTCATCTAAGCGTGACAGTGTGTTGCGTGTACTTTTGTTAGCTAGACAGTGTGTTGTATGAACTCGTATTAGCGAGACTGCGTGTTGTGTAAAACTTGTGTTAGCGAGACAGCGTGTTGTGTGAACTTGTGTTAGCGAGACAGCGTGTTTGTGAATTCGTGTTAGCATGATAGTGTGTTGTGTGAACTCGTGTTAGCCTGATATTTTGTTGTGTGAAATTGTATTAGCGTGACAGTGTGTTGTGTGTTAGTGTGACAGCGTGTGGTGCGAACTTGTGTTAGTGCGAAAGTGTTTTTCAGTGTTGTGATGGCGAGCTGTGTGATAGCCTAATGGCGTCTTTTGTGTCGGTAAGATGGCACGCTTTTATGAAAGTGCTATTGAGCTTTAGCAAGTGGCCCTATCTGGACACGCCTTATTATAATTGATCAGTTCTCAGATATACAGTGAATTACCGGTATTATTGTCACCATGAAATCAGCATTTACAGTTGCAATTACCTAGTTAGTAATCATAAGATATTGGTTTGTCAGTTTTAAAATTATGGTGTTCCAATGATGTGAAGTTGCAGTGTGTTAGCATGTTAATTTCAACAGACTGCCACTCCAATGCAGCTTTAAACAACACGCTGCTGTGTTAACACAAAACAAAATATCATGCAAACACAACTTTAAACAATCTGTTGAGTGTTAGCTTCACTGCATGTTGGATTCAGTGTGCTGGCATATTATCACTGACGTACATGCTAGCACATTGTCACATCGTGCTAGTATGTTGTCATAAATACTCTAGCACATTATCCTAAACCCACTAGTGCATGATTACTTTGCACTTGTATGTTGTCTTATTAGGGAATAGCATAAATGACTGCCTTAATTGGTGTAAACTTCTTTTAATTGATGAAAGAGTACATTAAAATTTACAAATTATACACAGAAAATGTGACAATATCTTATCTCTCAATTTGATAATCTAATTTATAATCTCATGAATTGCACTTTTTATTAGTAAAAGAATTATAGATTAAAAAATTTCAATTTCTTTTGGATAGGTGTGACTCATCTGAAGACTGAATTTTGATACCAAGCATGACCATGATTTGCCAGAAGATCATCTGTTTGGATGTGACATGGAATAAACAGCATAGTGAAAATAAGTCAAGTTTTGGTTTGTGAAGACAATTTTTAAACACACTGTGTATCATTTTTAAATTTTGATTTGACAACATAAATCCACAAATATGAACATATCAATTGCTCTCAGTTTTTCTAGTGAAATAGTTTTTGTAACAGAAATACATGTACCAGTAATTACATTGGAATAAATGTTATTTTTAAATATAATAATATTTTGTTTGTGTAGCATGTTGACCTCTTTATTAAGGTCTTCCCTTTCAAAGTTTAGACTTACTTATTCTAATGATTAAGATAGATCCTCTGTCTTCAGCAGGATTAGAAGATCTTGTAATACATGTATGTGTATTTTTTACAGTATAATGTAAAAAAAATTGTTATTTTGGCACATACAACTAATTAAAGGCATAAACATGTGTATGATTCAAAGGAATTCAGTACATAGGGCATGTACATGTAGTTTTCTAAAACAAGATTGAAGAGATGTCCAGTCGCATTTCAATGTCAACTGCAAAACTGTGCCTGTTGCATATTTATTAGCCCATCTGAGCTAAAGGAACCAGTAAATTTTTTAAAAACATAATTTTATCCATTATCATCATTGTCTAAAATTTCACAATATCATTTTCCAGAACCAAAGTGAAACTTGGCACAGAGCATCCTTAGTGTAGGGGATTCAAATTGTTCTTATGCAGGGCAATACCTTCAAAGAGATTTGTTTCTTTAATGCTGTAAATGTATAATATTTAGCTTGTACAATATTTGGTGGAAATTGACTTTTGAATAAGTTAGCGTAGATATTCTTATTTATGTTTATGTACAAGACTTTTAGCTTTGTACTTGATTTAGTGATTGCTGCATTCCGCCAAAGCCGCTAAAAAAGAATACACAGCCATATGTAATATGTTTACAATATACCTTTCAGAGAATTTTACACTCCTATTGAGGTACCACCAGTTGCTAGTGGAAAGCTGCAAATTCGAAACATACACAACACATTTCTGTGCGTTTATTATAAAAGTATTGTTCTACTTACTGATTGCAACTAATGAAGATTGTTCATCATTATTGTAAATACATTTGGATTTTTTGAATTATTATATAATTTGTTTATTTTATTTACCTAGTTATATTGTATATTAAATGATTTTAAAGCCATTTTTAAGATGGTAATGTAGCAAAACACTTATGTTTCTGTAGTATGACACGTTTCACAAACATGATATATCCGATATCAAAAGTCATAATATTGGAAGTTAAACTGTTGTGGATACGATTTCAAGAATGCTGTTAGAGAGAGTACCCTTTAGACCTCATGCTCACACCAAATTAAAGAATTCAAGTAAGGGTTTCTGAGACAAATCGAAAAAGAGAATGTTAGCAAAGTTGACAATCTAGACAGAAACATTTAATCTTTTGCTTATCGCTAGGAAGGAAGACCCACTCGTTGCTTTGCAACGAGCTTTGCTCTAGTTATTCTTTTTTTTTTTCTTCTACTTCCTAGACGCCAACTTTGAAGCCTCATATCTCACTCATTTCTCAATTGATTTCGCTCAAATTTTCAGAGATACTAGAAGTTACTAAACTCTATCAGAATGCTGTTGAAAATTTTAAAAAGTCACTTCCGGTTTTGAGTTATTTCCCTTTAAACGAAAATTTATAGGCTTTCGTTTCCAGACAAAGGCTCAGAGACGGCTAAAGCTGGAGCAGAAACTCTACTGATTTTAGATAATAGAAGGATTGAAGTTGTGCACATCGGTTTTTGTTTTTCGATTTCTCTATTCAAAATGGCGCTATATAGGGGTCAAAAATTAGAACGCGAAGAAGAGCCAAAAATTACTCATATTTTGCTTATTATTTTCTAAACTAAAAATATTTTGTTAAAATATATAGAACATAATTCGTGCAGAATTAGAAGATCTTTTCAAATGATATCTCGGAAAAAGGGCTGACCCCTAAAATTAAGGGCCTAGAGGGGCCGAAAGTTTTTCCTTTATATCTCAAAAAGTATTGAGAATTTGTAATACATCAAAGAAGCAAAGTTGTTTGAAATGCCAAGCTTAATCTAAATTGTCAAAATACGTCCGGCGTCGTCACTTCCGGCCAAACCGGAAGTAGTCGAAAAACGCGTATTTTTGACGTTATTGACAAGTTTTTAGTAAACATATGTCTCTGGATCTTAAAGATTAATTTTCCGTCCGTCGTCGTCACTTCCGATCGAACCGGAAGTAGCAAAAATGGCTTATATTTGCATTAATTAACTTAGCTTTAGATGAATCAAGCCATTTTTGGGCGTTTTTACTCATTTTTGTTAAATATGAAAGCTACTTCCGGTCAGACACGACGGAAGACCTACTCGTTGCTTTGCAACGAGCTTTGCTCTAGTTAATTATATATTTTTTGCTAAGAATAAAACAAAGATTTTAATTTCCTTAGATTTAATTCAGAGCTCTACATGCACATGTAGTCATATGTTGGTAAGCAATCAAAATGTATTCATGCTTTGTAAGAAGCAATTCGTGTATTCTTGAGGTCTCATATACTAGCATTAAACTTACACAAAATAAGTATTTTTATCTTAACATTTCGAGCGCGATATGCATTAACTCTTACCTTTATGCTAATTTTTGGTTCATCTGGAGATAGAAGGTCCCCCTTACCTAACGTCATGACAAGAGGTGCGTAGTCGGGATTAGGACTGGTTGGAACCCGCTTTTTTATTTCAAAGTAGCTTTTTCTCTTATCTCCATCTACATCAGATTTACAAAATTTATTTTATAATATGCTGGATTAATTTTGTTATTATTACATTAACATAATTTATCTTACTTTCCGTCAATTCCTTCATTTTCTTCACCATCAGTGGAATTCCCTATAAAGAAGAAGAAATGTTCTTTGTGTATTATAGATGAATATACCAAAAATCTTCACCTAGAACTCTCTCTCTCTTTCTCTCTCTCTCTCCTAACCTGTACGGGTTTATGTTGTCTTTCAGTTTGCTGATCTGAAATCTTGGGTAGCTCATGCTCGTAATCTGCAAAGAACACAAAAAAGTTTCTGGTGAGATTAAAACTCCTCTGGGGAGAGGCAAGAAGAACCAATACTTCTTCTTTAGTAGCAGGTTTTATCGTTTTAATGATTGATTGTCACAGAAAGCCATTTTCCGAAACCCCAACCTTGTGTAAACAACTATGTTTCTTAGTGAAATCTCATATGTAGCAGGTTTGTAAAAATAGAAGAAGGATTTCAAATTGATCATTTCTTATCGGAATCATGAATATTGGAAAACAAGAATTCCAGTTTATTTTTCGCGCAAATTTGAGATTTCGTCATCCAGTGAGTTAAATGTTTAGAATGGCAATGAAATTATAAAAGCACTTACAAGACTTTCGTGAATGTTCTTGTTTCTTTCTTATTTCTTTTAACCTTTGACGCATTATATCAATATGTATTCTTTTTCCTCTGTCAAAGTGCAGACAGTCAGTGGCCAGTTTGTGGTAAGGAAGGGGAACACATGGCCATTTATAAGGTTTCAGTCCACAGGAGACGACTTTAGCCATGATGTCATCTGTTGTCTCACTGTACAACTCTGTGTATGGCTTGAACAGTGAGTGGATCACGTGACCAATCATCCAAATATCAGTATAAACATCGTATTTATCTTCCCAAAGTGATTCTGGGGCTGACCACCTGGTGGGTATGTTTTCTCCATGAATATCTGATAAAATAAATGAAATCATTTAAATGTCTTTTAAAAACAGACACACAGAGAAAAAAAAATTGCAAACCGAAAAAGGACCATGAAACGTTTTATTACCGACCTGCTATATGCCCCGTTTTGGCTGATGCTTCGTCGTCATTAGAGCAGGCCATCTGAAGACTACAGAGGACAGCTTTTTCGTGTCCATGAGATGGGTATTCCCTTATTGCAAAAGAATTAATGGTAATATCCCTGTGTATAATTTTCTTCTGATGAAGAAAATTGATGGCACTTCCAATGTCCAAAAGTCGGTCGTTCATCCAATCCTCAGAAAGGAATTTTTGATGATTTCTTGCATGCAGAAGTCCATCGAGAAGGAATTTCTGAAAACTTTCAATGACGTAAAACGGTAATGGACTTGGTTGAGGGTTGAAGGCCCACAGTTTCACAATATTCGCAGTTTTACCTCCGTGTATTGTCCTCAATACATCAAATTCATTCACTAACTGGTTACTTTCGATCGAATTCTTACAATTCTGAATTTGAATACCCGATATTCCTGGTACTTTTATTGCTATACGCACTGAGTTTTTAAACAGTCGACCTCCGGATACCATCCAATGAGACTGATCTGACAGTTTTGGAAGATTCCTTCGATTTTGGTTATGAACGACTAGCCCTGGAATTGCTCTTGCAATATAGGACTCGGCTAGCTGATTCATTGTTCCCTCGGAGAGATTCAAGCTAGAGATAAATGGTTGTGCTACTTTAGCGTTTATGGACAACAGAAGGTCAGACATTTCTTCGGGGATAAGTTGTTGGTCATGTGCAAAAACATCAATGATATCGTGAAAACTCTCTGTTTCTATCTGAGAAACTACAACAAAACAGACATAAATTACACTTTGTTACATTAGCCTACATAACAACTGACGTCTGTACTGGCTCATTCAGTCATTTAAGGTATGAATGATGAACTGTCATACAATATACATACATTTTCTTGCTATAAATGCTATGCCACAAATAACAAGATGTCCAAGTTGCTTGAATTCAGGATCTGTCCTTTTCTTATCAATATATTTTTGATGAAGTATTGGATGCAAAAAACTAATGAACCTCTCGCACATTTGTCGTGGATTGCTTGTCATCTAGAAAAAATAAGTAATTTTCAGTCAGCTTCCTTTGACAATTATAATGATGATTGTTTAAACACTTCTTTCTTACCTTTGTTAAGATTCCCAGAATAACAATATATTGGTCAACAACAGACCCACTACTTCCAATCTTCACGAGTGACATATCATGCTCTGAGGATGTAAAAGAATCGTCCACACTTTGAAAAACACCCTTTAAATGTGTCCCATACTTAAACTTCCCCATGTTTGCCGCCAAAGCCAAACCTCCCTGAACCATCTGGTAATTTAATGGTTCCTCCTTTTTTATCCTTTTTCCAGAAATCGCAGTTTTCCACACTTTTTCTATTGTTTCACAACTCTTACTCATGTTGTTGAACACCGTTTTCTTTACCTTTCTGTAGCAGCAGTGGAGCATTACAGCTATCGCACAACTTCGAAGCACAGTTGGAACTGTCATTACAATCTTTTGGAGAGAATCTTCCTCTTGGGAATATTGTAAAAGTTGTGCAACGCTTTTAAGACAGACCTGAATGACTTCCACTGAAAATTCATTAAGATCTACCTCCATTAATAATTTCTGAAGAGATCTCAAAACACAATTCTGAAATTTACTTTCGTCAATAGAGAGCAGATGTGAAAGCGACATAATGTCTTTGGATTTTTGAAGTTTTGGCACTAATAGTGTCTCTGCAAATCTCAGAGAGTCTTTTTCTGTTGCTCCCTGATTGTTTTCCAGAAATGAAATAAAGCCATCGGCGGTCAAATCTTTGATGCTTCCTACAAGATTTATGTTGTTTAAGGGTGATTAATGAATAGGAAAAAAATTAAATGCCTAATTGATACAAATATAAGAAAAGTTAAATTCCAGTATTGTTTCGACTTGTCAATGAACTTTCAATCCAATTTCACTGCAAGGGAATTTTATACTCCATCTGCATGCATTTCTTTTTCTCTCATAACGATTAAAATCATATATCAATTTACTGACTGATTTTTTCTTTACGATTCTATTATTTTAAATTCTTCAACTTGTTCGTTTACTAATATTCAAGAATATTTCATGTAATAGTCGGGTTTTCATCACTTACCATTTTCTTTAGAGATCAGACTTTGTAATATCTGTGGTTCTGGTTTGTCCGTTTGTCTGCAAGTCTCTACGCTGGCAAACGGATCTTCTATCTCAGGATACTCGTACGCATAGTCATAATCTTTATTGTTATCAGCCATGCTTTCTTTTAATTATCTGCAATTAAAAATTTTATCAATTTATTCATATACGAATACCTGGATGATGAAACTCCCTCCCCTACCATCACCACATTTTTATCTCCCGCTTTTACTAAAAGTGGGGAATGTAAAATTCGATCTTCAAAAAAGATTTTGTGGTCAAAAGGTCAAAGGTTCAAGTCATAAATTCTTGTTTTAACACTTTGGTTTCCGCGCAATAATTCGAGAAGCCTCTGAGCTTTTGAAGTAGAATTTTATACCACAACTTCCTATGCCCTTAGGATGACCTCTTATATTTTGCGGTCAAAGGTCAAAGTCGTGAATTGATATACTCTGTGTGTATATGTGTGAGTGAAACTTTTATTTCCGGCGATATCTCTAGAAGATCTTGAGTTTTTGCAATGAAATGTTTTGCAATTACTCCCTATGGCTCGCCCATCCCTCTTCGCCCCTTTCCCTTTAACCCCCCCCCCCCCCTTCCGTAGTTACGAGCAAGCTCTTCTTTTTTCATTAAGCAGGTGACACAGATTTTCTTAATTAGCTCTTTATAATTTACCCTCCAGAAAAAGCGATACAATAATACTAAGTAATTGAAAATAAAGTATATATTTATGAATAAATGTATTTAGTTCAACTTTATTCTCCCGTGTGGTCTTTATCGTCTTTTTCGGTTGAAATATATTTTGCAGATAAACAAGGTGTACATGTATTTAAAAAATAGCTGGTCATATTACAGTAATCTACGCAGATGAACCTCATATACATTGTATGGTATTCAAATGTGTGGAATGTACAACTTTCTTTTCTTTTCGGGGATTTCCCCTCAGGTTTTTCCACACAAAAACGTCAAGCTTTAAGAGCTCACGAAGGAGATGTGAGATTTTGATTTAAGCAATACATGAGATGTTTTCTTTGTGGGTCTGCTCACTCAGGTAGAACAAACACATTGAAATAGGCTCAGATTTGGCTGTGTGCCGATTGTTCCATACATATATTTGAATTTCATAACATTTAAACCTTTCAGCAGATCATGCTGACACTCTTAATCTGGGTCAAAATTATTGTAAAGTGACGTGACTGCACATCCAAAAAACAATATCTTTCGTTAAAGGGACTTATACACAGTTTCAACTGATTTTTTAAAACCAATTTTAATGTTTACAATTCCTAATTAAGGCAATTCAAATGATCAGAAAAAATGTGAACATTAAATTTTGTTGATTTACAAAGGAGATACAGAACTGAAAAATTCTTAATAATGTAAACAAAGCTCGTGTCTTGTTTTTGTTTACGCATAGAAAATATAGTATTTATAAGAAAATGAGATTCAGCAAATCACTAGGAACTGACTAATCATATTTAGAATTAACTCCTTTATTGAAAAAATCTGCTTTGAACGAACATATATAATAGTTTATTTAACCTATTTAAACAAAAACATGACACGGGCTTTGTCTACATCACAAAGGTATGGACCTCTAAATCTGTCTTGTTCCTCGACAACTGAAATTCAATTTTTTTGATAATCATTAAAAATACCTTAGTTAAGTATTTGTTAACATTAAAAAAATGAAAAACAAATTTGAAAATTTATAGCTGAAACTGTGTCCATGTCCCTTTAAAAAAATAACTAAAGCAGACATACTACTACTGTAGCAAACGTGTGTATGCTTTTCCTGAATCAAAACTATATTGCGCTGAATTTCAAATTATTTACAAGGAAGAAGTTAATGGTAATCTAACAACCAAGCTCTTTGACAAACGTAGTGACTTTAATTTCCAATCGTCAACTTCCAATATTATAAGTAATATACCATCATTTCCCGCATACGGGGTTTATATCTCTCAGCTGATTCGATACGCGAGAGCATCCTCTACGTATGAATAATTTCTAGAATGAGGTAAATTATTGACAAACAAGTTGATGAAACAAGAATATCAGCAGTCTCGTTTAAAGACATCATTTTGCAAGTTATATTGTCGATAAATGACCTTGTCAGCAAATACAATTTATCATTAAGTCAAATGCTGACTGATACTGACGTTTTTCATACTAATGATTAGGCCATTATATTCACACTGAATTGACGACGTTTTTATCCGTTATTTCCCGATCACGACAAGGAGCACACGGCGGGTGTAACTGGTTGGTAGGGGATGTTCAATCCTCCATGGCACCTGATCCCACCTCTGATGTTTTGGAGGTCATGTTGCTCTGCCTTAATTTTATATTGTTAAATGGATTTCTTGACCTTAAATACTGTTCATTATCTCAAAACACTTCTCTTTATTGTCTGTTGTATAGTCTATATAGTTCACTAACTACAATAATGTTGACCTCTTCATTTCTTTTTGTATATGTATATCCGAGAAGGCTACACTATTGCAGTTTGGAGGCGCTTTAGGTAAAAGGTTTATTGCAAATTCTATACGATTTTTATAATTACTTTTTATGTAAATACAACCTATGGTTGTGCCGATTTTTGATTCCATTTGTCAGATCATAGCATTTATACAACACAAAGGACTCACAGACCGGACAACAGAGGGTGCTTACTCCTCCTAGTTAGTTACCAGATCCAACTCTATTTTTTCAGTTGCCTGTGCTTTTGCCCCGTTCGCGATTCGTTATGTTAACTGGACTTATAATCTTGTTATCTTTACCTTTTGTTATAAAATCGCAGTACAAGATGAAAATAATCAAATTAGATATTACGCCAAGTATCTACAATGCAGTATTGTAAAATCGGGCATGAAAAGGTTAAATTGGTTGCCGAGTTCTGTAATTTGAAATATGATTTAAACTCAAGCATTGTTATGATCCCAAGTATAGCTAAAAGTTTTTATTTCGCCAAACAGCATATCAATCAGTTCCTTTTTTAATGAAATTCTTGGAATTTTAATTTTGTTATATTAAGAATCACACTATCGTATGCCTGGTACTATTCTATCGAAACAACCCATTTATATTCTTAAAAGCAAGAACAGGCCCTTGGCTTGCAAGCAAAAGAATGTTTTGCCTTATTTTACTTTTGATACATGTTACATGTCTCAGAGTAACAAGTTCTCTTAAATAAACTACATGAACCTAGTTTATTCCTACAAAACGAAGAGTTGTTTTTATAATACAAGCGTATGAAAGTAACAACCGATATATATTTTATGTGCTACAGTTTTAGTTCGATTTCAATCTAATTTGGCACACAATTATACTTTATACTACAATGCACAACATTGCGTACAATGCATCTGTTTTTGTTTTTCCATGTTATATGACTTTAGTAGCTGCAGATCTGTAGCGTTATGGTTTTATATATTTGTCTTTGACCATAACGCTACAGATCCCGTAGTGCAAAAAAGGTGCAATTTACGGCGCAATATTTTTTGCGCTCTTTTGGGGAGAATTTCTCCACTTTCCAGCATCGTTCAATCAACTACCTTTCAACCCCTAATTCTAGACACATTATTTAATTAATCTGTATATTTTATCCATCTCCCAACCCTTTATAGTCGTCTCTACAAGTGATAAACTCGCTTAATTAAAATTATTTGTTAGATTACTGAAAATTCATATCCAGCGAGTTTATTGCCTGTAGAGACAACGATAAATGGTTGGGAGGTGGATAAACTATACATATTGGCTACAGAATGTGTCTAGAATTGGAACGTGAAAGGCAATTGATTGACCAAGGCTAGGAAGTGGAGAAATTCTCCCCAAAAGAGCGCAAAAAATATTGCGCCGTAAATTGCACCTTTTTTGTACTACGGGATCTGTAGCGTTATGGTCAAAGACAAATATATAAAACCATAACGCTACAGATCTGCAGCTATGACTTTAGATAATGTGTTCACAATGTTAGGTCGTCTTTAGATATATAGTAATACTTTACTCGCGAAATTTTCATTGTTAAAGCTAGCACAATGCTTAATAAAGCTTTTTGAATAAAAATGCAAATAAAGTCCACTTCCTAGTTCCAGTTTTTGACTGAACTCTATGGATCATAATAAACAGATCCATTTTTTATAAATGTTAATAAAAACTTTCTAAGGCAAATTTTTCAACAAAAAATTCATTAGACGTTTAATACAATTTAACTTACGTTTCGAGGATCTACATGTCCCTATATTATATTTTATCTGAGCAGACAAGACTTAATGTTTATGCAAGTGTTTAAGTTTTTTAATTCTAAATTTAGATTGGAAATTCCATCTTAGATAAAATTCTTTAAATATATTTTAATTGAATGTGTTCAAAAAGCGACGAGAAATATACAATACAGAATGTCAAGCAGATTATCATTAAGGGACAACGGTTAATGCAGAATTCTGCGAATACAAGGCTAATTGCACCTGAGATTGGGTTGGTATGCGTCATGTTTCATATTTGGATTTTTTCTGATTTTAAACGAGAATGGTCAACTTACAGCTAAACTGCGTCAACTGATCAACAATGGGGGCGTTTTCCTCTCGGGAACTTGATGCTATCTTTGATCTTTCAAGAGTCCGTGTTAAATTTTGCCATGTTCGATCAGATTCGATGTGTTCATGGATTTACCAGATTGATCCCTGTTTTTATCTCCACCTCTTATAAACATATACTTAATCTAATATACACATCAACTTCTGAGTTTCAGGAAAATTATTAATTATACTATGTAGGTAGTGTGAAGTATTAACATAGTAGAATTTTAAACTTTATACAGGAATTTTCCTGAAACTCGGAAGTTGGTGTGAAATTTTAACATACATGTATGTTAAAATTTCACACCAATGCACAGTCTAAATATCTGAAAAGACATAAAAGACAGAATTAGATCTGTATACTGTTGATTTATTTGATATAAAAGTTATTTCTTAAAACTAGATCGGAAATGGCTGCTTGTCAATTCTTAACAAGGTTGCAATTCAGGGGAGTTTGTGGGAGGGGGGGGGGGTGTCTAATTATAAATTAATGACAGATTACAGACTATGCACTGGACAGTTAAATATTGATGATACATGGATAGGTACTTAGAAACTTCTAGTCTTCTTAGATGTTCAAACACGGTATAATGTAAATAATGTAAACATTTATCAAATAGTACGTGCAAGCCTTGACTTCATCAGGAAGCAGACTTTCCCTTTAGAATGCATTAGACTAATGAAGCAGAATTTGTTCAAAATCTTATACGTCAAAAATAAAAACTCTTGCTGTGGCATTCAGCTCGACATTTAGATTATCCACAACGCATTGTCAATTAATAATGGTTATTTCCATTGTTATTTCGACACGATATATCCCAGTGAGCTTGAAATAAAAGATACCATATAGAGTCTGACACATCAATCTGTTTTATATCTAGATATTTTACTTGAAAAAGACATTAATGGTAATCTAACAACCAAGCTTAATGACAAACATGATGACTTCAACTTTTCATTTGTCAACTTCCCTTCCTTTTGCAGCTATGTGGTGGCTAGCAATATACTAGCACCTTCATCAATTGCATACGGGTTTATATATCTCAGTTGGTTCGATAAAGAAGAGCATGCTCTACATATGAACAATTTCTAAAAACAAGTTGATGAAGGATATGAAGATAACGAAGAGTATTCAATATCAAAGTCCATGAAACAATACAAAATAGGAGAAGAACAAACATGGATCTCAAAAACATCGGAGGTGGGATCAGGTGCCATGGAGGAGTGAGCATCCCCTGCAGACTGGTCACACCCGCCATGTGCTCCTTGTCATGATCGACAAATAACGGAAAAATCCGTCGTCATTTCAGTGTATAAATAATGGACTAACAATTAGTATAAAAAACGTCAGTCAGCATTTGACTCAAGGATAAATTGTAAGTGCTGACAAGGTCATTGTATCGACAAAAAACTTACGAAATGATGACTTTAAACGAGACTTGATATTCTTATTTCATCAAATTGTTTGTCAATAATTAACTTCGTTTTAGAAATTGCTCATACGTAGAGCATGCTCTTGCGTATCGAATCAACTGAGATATATCAAATGAGATATATAAACGCCGTATGCAGGTGATGAAGGTATATTGCTGCATAAGTAAGGGAAGATGACGATAGAAAAGTTAAGTCATTACGTTTATCATAGAGCTTGATTGTTAGATTACCATTACGTCTTTTTCAAGTAAAATATCCAAGTATAAAACAGATGTGTCAGACTCTATGATATCTATTATCTCAAGCTCAACAGGATATATCGTATTGACAAAGGAATGGAAATTATCATTGTTTGTTGACAATACGTCGTCGATATATCTTAATGTTGAACTGAAGGCAACAGCAAGTGTTTTCTTCTTTTCACGCATAAGATTTGCACAAATTCTGCTCCATATGAATACAAAAATAGGTCTGCATATATCGGAGCGCAATTGGTACCCATGGGAATTCCAATAGATTGCTGGAAGACCTGGTTTCCAAAACCAAATAGATATTGTCAATCAGAAACTCGAGAATCTTTTTGATATCAACTTCAGAGTACTTTTGTGTGCAATCAGAATGTGTTTTAATAAAAAAAAAATGGTGTGCAATCAGAATGTGTTTAAAAAATGATTTTGCAAATGACCAATGACAAGATAAGTAAATTTTCGAGTTCCATTTTTATTGAAAAGCAGCTGTCATTGATAACAAAAAGTCTGGACTTTAATTCATCGTGGGGAATGGTTGTGTATAAAGTTGAAAAGTCGTAAGATTTTAAGCTGTTGATTTTGGTAAAATCTTGTGATTTCAAATTGTCCAAAAGTTCTTTGGATTTTTTTAATATCCACATCTGACTCACACCAGTTCTTGGATATATTGTTGCACAGTACCCTTGAAATGTTTCCTTCATTACTGTCAATATCTTAGTGAGGAATAAAGAAAGAGGCCTGGTTGAACATTTGCTGGAACCCGCAATGTATCTTTGTTTGTAAGACTTCTAATGAAGTTTTGGAATCCAATATATATATATATATATATATATATATATATATATATATATATATATATATATATATATATATATGGTAGTTCAAAATCATTTTGGTTCTTCGGGATATTAAAAGGGGCATTAAAAATATTCAAAACTGACATGATTTTGAAGAATTTCTTCCTTAGAAAGGGAACTATGAATATAAGTTGGATTACCATTTGTAGAATTAAATCAAAGTTCTTCTAAAATACAATTTATATAATGAGCCTTACAGACGAAGCCTTGTCAGCAGGGACCAGTACGTACTGATCATGTAATCTATCTAACTCTAGATGAATCAAGAATATCATCACTCGTTCAAAGTCATCATTTCGTAAGTTCTTCGATCGATACAATTATCTTGTCAGCAAATAAAATTTATCATTAAGTCAAATGCTGACTGACGTTTTTCATACTAATTGCTAGGTCATTATTTACACTCTGAATTGTTTCCGTTATTTCCCGATCACGACAAGGAGCACACAGCGGGTGTGACCAGTCGGCAGGGGATGCTCATTCCTCCGTGGCACCTGATCCACCGCTGATGCTGTACAGGTCCTTGGTTGCTCTTCTCCTAAATCAGTATAGCATAGTGGACTTTTTGAGCTTGAATACTGTTTGCTATCTCAATGTATTTCATGATAACCACCGGACATGTATCTCTGCTGGTGGACAGTCTGTCCCCGAGGATACTTGTCATCTATACATTCATGAGTACAAAAAATAACGATATGATACTGGCAGACGCGTCGCCCAGTATAAAAGTCGTCGCTCTTTTGCGTCTATAAGGGACACAAATTGAAGAGTTCATTCGGTGCCCCACGGATAATACTCAGCGATATTAAAC